CTCTCTCTCTCTCTCTTTATCTCTTTCTTTTTCTCTCTCTCTCTCTCTCTCTCTCTCTCTCTTTTACTCTTTCACTCAGTCTTTTTCTTTATCTCTTTCTTTGTGGTCGCACCGCGACCCACGCTTAAGAACGACGCCCACCGTGAGGCCGATTTGACACTTCATTATTTGCCGGCACTGCGGAGGCCTGTCATTAAAACGAGATTAGTCCCGTAATCGTAAAAGTTAGCTTGAGTTTGGACGTAGTCCACCGAAGAGTCGTCGTCTCTAGACCGTTCTGGATCGATTCTTTTCTCTTTTTTTTTCCTTTTTTTTCATCTAAGATAAATCTTCGAACTTCAATTTTCTCGGCTTTTTCTTTCTAATTGGTTAGCGATGATAAATTCGTTCAATTTCCATAACGTCATCAACGGGTTGCTAACATTATCTTCACTCTGCCTATATTTATAAGTGAAATCTTCGTTTTTTTCTTTTTCCCCCTTTTTTTTTAACTTTTTAGGAGAAACGTTACATAGAAACGAGTAGAGAAAATGTAATGCAAGTCTCGTCGAAGAAGAAAACGGGAAAACTTTCAGAGTGGATGGCGTGGGCTCTTAACATAGGGTAAAAGGGGATCGTTTTATACGATTTTATAGCTCGTGGCAGGCAGACACGGGTAATACCGTAAAGGAGGGATGAAACTTAACTCGAATCGAAACGCTAATGTATACGCGTATGCACGCGTACCTACATATATATATATATATATATACATACATGTGCGTGTATATTTATATATAGATATATATTATGTATAGAAATATATATACATCGTTTCCTGAATCGGGGTTAAGCCACGCTTCGCTGAATTTTGTTGAACAAGAGGATGCAACGTCGTGGTGGTTCAGTCAAATCCGCCGAAAACAGACAAGGGTGGCGCACGTTACCGGCAACGCGTCCCATCCGATTTTCAAGCGGCGTACGTCGACTCCGTGCATACGTAAATGCCTTTCGAGCTGGTGGCTAAAGTGCCACCAACGTGTCCAGCTTATCGAGGATTAATGTCACGTCCTTGTTTTCGGCCAATGGCAAATTTACTGTCCTTCTTCTTTACCAAATATCCTTCTTATCTTTTTCCTATTAAATTCAATCAATTGACATGTATATTTTTGATTTGTTACGAAGCCATCAATGATATTGTAAAATTATAATTGAATTGTGATACAAATGAAAAAATTGATGATAATAAAAAGATAAGAAAATTGATGATATAAAAAGCAAAAGAAGGTACAAACGAAAATGATAAAACTTTGAGAGAAAAAGACGGGAAATACAAAGGAAATAAAAGAGAGAGAAAGAGAAAAGAGTTAGAGTCGCCTATCTTTTTCGATCTTTTTGCGAAAAAGGAGAGTTTACTACCGCTCGGTGCCTTCTTCTCCCTGAGGTCTCCGAAGAACACTCACTCCTTTGTCTCTTTATGGTCCGAAAGTGGCCCATAGAAGCGAGCGATGCACCGTGCAAGTCCGCTGCCGCCATATCGACGCCGCCGCCGCCGCCGCCGCCACCGCCACCGCCACCGCCACCACCGCCGACTGCCGCGGTTACAGCCGTCTTCTTCTTCGACGCCACGAAGAAGTACGGTCGGATAATAACGAGTTTCGCTGTCGTCCTTTCGCCCTTCGCGTAACGCGAGTCGTAAAGTCGAGCGTGCGCTCTTCTCCTCGAGCTCTCCTTCCCATCTTTCTTTTTTCCTTTTCTTTTTTATCTTTCCTTCCTTCCTTCTTTCTTTCTTTCTTTTATCTCTTGTATTTCTTTTTTTATTTTCTTTCTCCAGCCAATCATTCTTCTCCTTCTTCCTCAGTGATGTAGACGACGATGTCAAATTTTTATTGCACCAACCAGTCACTCTTAAATAACCTTAGTACCTGCCTTCCGGCATGCTTTTCGACAATTTAGACGTTTTTTCTTTCTTCCTTTAGAAATCCACCCAAATTATCGCGATTGAGTGATCTCGCTTGACCTGCCTCCCTCGAAAAGACTCTTGAAACGATACGCATTTGTCTCGAGCGTTTAACAGTCAAGAAAATTTTAAGTTCCAATATCTGTTATAACGATTATAACCATGTTTTTAAATCCTCTCTATCGGAATTTACATCGTTACGTTAATGGTACAATTTTAATCATTATTTAAAGATTATTTTATCGAATTGATACAGAAATTGACTTTTATTTTTTAGTAATACAAAACAATACTCGGTCGTATATTAATAGGAACAGTAATATGTTCGAAAAGTTTCAAGAGGAAAAATTGCAATATCGTTATGAGAAAAGTAAATTTTTCATCGATAAATCAATAGATCAATAATTAACGAGTTGAAATGGATAAAAGTGCGAACTAATGTTACTTGCGTTAAAACGTGTAATTAAGTATAATCTCTTCGTTGAAAAACAGATTATTACGAGCAGGTAGAAGGTAAGAATTCCTGGGACAGATCTCTTCGTGATGCTACGGAACTTCACGAAGTACAACCAGAAGGCCGTAAGATTCTGCAGATTATGAAAGAAGATTGAAGATAAATATGGGTCTGGTCGAAGAAAATTTATAGAAAGAAGTCAATAAATTTGACAAATTAAATACTTTAAATTATTAAATTAAACCACAAATCGGAAAGCAAAAAATGTTTCTTGTTATTAATTGCACCAGGTAATTCGATAATAGTTAATATAAAAAATACTTTCTCATGCGTTCCCTAAAACATTCGTAGATTTGTATAAACACAAAAATTCGGGATCTCGTACGGAATAGCAGAATCGACAAGCCATACTATTGTGCATACATTTAGTATAACAGCATGTTCCCGTGTTATCCTACGGGACACGGAGAAAAGACCAGGAGTAGGAGGGGTGAAGACGCATTACCAGATTGCCTCACGCCGCTCGTATTCACCGGTCTTTTACATTCATGAAGCTTTTATTCGCTTGATTTGCCTATACGCTTCTCGTATTCACGGCTCTCGATTTGATTTGCATTGATTGGAGTGCTGCCCTTTTCGATACCCGGCCGGTCTCTTCTATCTAACGCGACGTTATAGTGAGCGTACGCGTATCCTGTTTGGTCGTACAATGAGAAGCGTTGATCGTAGCCATGAAATAATCCTTCGAAAAATCGAAAACAAAAAAAAGGAAAAAAGAAATTACTCAACTCTACATAGTTTTCGTCAGAGTTGTTCTCTACTACGATACAGAGGGATCATAATTTAAATTCCTCATGTATTCACTTTGAAACAAATTAAATTTATTCTATGGATACGAAAAAATTTGCATGGCTTTTTTTATTAAATTATTTAACAATTTCCAATAATCAATATATATATATATATATATATATATATATATATATATATATATACATTGTTATATATAAATATATATATATATTGTTTTATATCATTAAAATGAAAATGATCAATCGATTCTCGACGATGCAAATTTATCAACTGATCTAAGAAAATAATATAACTTGACTGAGAAGTTTTATTGACTAGTAGCAATTCTCTTGGTTGCGTCGCAGTGACGAACGACTGTGGCAAGCATGCAAGTATCTCGCGTTAAGGTAATTTCGGTCGTAACTAAAGACCGCAAAGATCTTCGACGAAGAACATCGTCTCGATCCGTCGATGATTTATGCCAGGCCACGCGGGAATGGCTACTTTGAAGTTCCAACCAAGGGAAAGTTCTTACCGGCCGAGAGGAAGTTCAAAAAGTCGCTAGTAAAAGAGTGCTAAGTATTCGATAAAAAATTGTTGGTGAGAATAAATAGTTCGGTATGAAAAATTCTTCGCTTTGACGATGGTTGAAAGATAGTAGTATAATAACAATCGATAGATATTACGATTTCGAAATAAAAAACAAAAAAAGAAAAGAAAAAATAATTCTAATCAAACAAATATCTCCGTTTGACTTTCGAAATTTTCGTTTTGAAGACAAGTTTAGAGATTCCAACGTCTGAAAACGAAAAAGGGCTACCGTTTGTCGTAATGTCCTGTCATCTAACACGACCGTCAAGCTCGGTGATTAATCGATTTCTCGACAAGAAGGAACCTGTCGACGATCGAGAGAAGAAAGAGGGGAACGAACGTGAGCAAAAGACGCCGACGAGAGACGCAAAATATTTGGGGACAAAACCCGAGTGGCAAGACCGAGTCATTAATAAAAATCATTCTCTCGTTAAACTGAAAATATTTGTACCTTGCAGTCGTCACGAACACCATGAACACCCTCGCGGCTTGTGAGACCCTGGATGAACAGAAATGAAAAGAGAGTAAGGATAAACGAAGATCAACGTTTAATCGTCACGGAATGAGTATGAGTTTTTTTTCTCTATATTTTTCCTTTTTCTTTTTTTTTTTTTTTTCATATGCCACCTCTTTTTGCATGTATGCGTGTCTCTCTCTCTCTCTCTCTCTCTTTCTCGTTTTGTATTTTACGCGCGGCATCGAAAAAAGGTGGGCCACCTGGAAACTTCCCAGATGAAATTGATTCGTACGCGTACTTCGCGGCGACCTGGACCATGATCGTAGCATCATTCATCTCGCTCCTATACTATTAGTACTGTTATTTATGGTTTAAAAAGTCTATAGATCGTGGTAGGCTATTATGTATCCGTATCGAGACCACGTCCACCGTCGTTGATTTATGTGTCCGCGCAAATTGCCGCTTGTCCTTTGTAAGACGTTGGAAAACTTGGACGATTAAATCCCTAGCTAGGAGTATGGATTGTAATTTAGCCAAGTAGAAAAGTTCTCGTTATTCGATAACGTTTATCTTAACCATAATTAAATTGCTCCGCGTTCCAATTAATGCTATATAATATTTTTCGAAAGGCTTATATATTGATCTTTGATATAAAACGATGAAATCTTATTTTTATAAGAAACAAGTAAGCGGCTTTTACGAACCAATAGGAAAATCATAGCGGCAACGTGAAATCGAGTATATATCGAATAAGGCTGATAAACGTTTCAACAAGGCTTCCTTTTATCGTTCGAATCGTCGAGTCTTCTAAAGAATTTCAACGCCGGATAACGTCGCAATCGTAATAGCTCGTGTTCCGTCTGCAGAGCCAAGAGCTCCGCATAATTATCTTGAAGTTTCTTGATCAGATCGGATCTCTTCATGTGAATCTGCATCTTCCGGTCCATGTACCGACGTTGCCTCTCCTCACCGATAAGATCACGGCTATACTCCATCTCGCACCTCACCACGTTCATGTTCATGATCATGCGATCAAGAAGATCGTTTTTCCTCTTGATGGTCTCGATCTTCTTATCGACCTCTTTGAGTTTTTCGGCCCATTCATTGAGATTTTTGCCAAAATAATTCTGCATCATCGTGAGTTCCCTTTCCAAACGTTGGGTAGTTCTGTCTTCCCTCAAATTCCTGGCCCTTCGTTTTAAATATATCTGTATTTCCCTAGTGAGGTTGGTGTTCTCGATGAAGTGTAGATCATCTTTAAGATCATCGATTTGCATCTTTAACGCATGATGCTCCCATTCCTTATTTCGAACGGTCTTTTGAAAACTGATCGTATGCTCCACTGCCTTCACTTTACGTTCTCCCGCCTCTGCGATCAACACGTTCACATCCTCGATAACTTTTCTAGGTATAAGGATCGCGTTTAAGGTGTCATCGCAATGACCATGCAAATCTATCTCTACCTGGCCCATTCTCATAACTAACTGAATCTCGGTGTTCACATCGAAGATCCTTCCATCTTCTTTCATTTTACTTAATATCTTTCTCAATTCGCGTGTTCTATGTTGACTATTCTTCAATTTCTCACCGTAGGCATTTACTACCCTCTCCGCTCGATTTATCTCAGCCTGTTGAGCCTTTATCCTAAGCTCCAACTCGATCCGCTGACGTCGAATTCGCGTTAAATGTTCCCAGTTATGATCTTCTATCAAAGATGGCAATGTGGTTGGTCGTACGTCCAATTCATCCAGCAATTTCAAATATTCCGTACATATCTTTGGCAAGTAGACCAATTTTATTCGATTTAAAACGCATTTACCAAGATCAAGTAAATCGGACATACTGATGTTTTTCAAATTCGTTCTCGGTCGACGCTTGTACTGACGTAAGATAAGTTCTACTGATGATTTTCCCAAAGACGGAAATTCTAATCTAAAATTCTTGTTCAATATTTTTTCACGATTAAACATTGCTTCTAACGGGCTTAACAAATTCTTTTGAATATTTTTGAGAGATTCCAATTCTTCTTTAAGTATCATCTCGGACGTTTGATTCTTCTCAATTTTATTTTTTATCCTCTCGTAGCTTTCAATATTCTTGACACGATTGTAATTCCGTATACGACCACGTACGTAACGAAGTTCCATTTGTTTTATCGCAGCTTCCAATTTTATTCTCAACTAAAATATTATCAATATAATGATATATGAAGATTCGACTAATAATTTTATAATAAAAATCGTTAATATATTTGTTCCATTACAAACCAGAAATACTTCATCCAATTTGGCATTAAATTTATCAATGCCTTCTTGCAAAGAAGATTCCAATTTCACATAATCAGATTGTAATATCCTTTTGTAATGTTCTCTTTCTTCCAAACGATTCTTAATGTCGTCTTCATACTTTTTAACCGCCCGAATATCTTCAGCTGTGTAATCCTCTGGTTTTTTGATCAGCATACAGCTGGGTTTTGGTATGTCCTTCTTAATAATGTCTTCCCATCGAACTTCTAACACACCATCCATCATTGCCATCAGTGCACGCTCTCGGAAATCATCGGCTAGTAACAATTGCCTGATCCTTTCGGCTTCGGCTTCCTGTTTATCTAAAATTTCTTGTTGCGACGGTGAAATATAAGGTTTAACCTTCACTTCGTTATCCAAAACTCGTATGATTTCCTCAGGTCTTTCCTAATTTGATAATTTGAATGAAATATTTTCTACCGTTTCGAAAACTTAATCGTATTTATACCTTAATGTGCCACGTGGGTACCAAAGGCAAACGTGGTATCGATTTATTGAACATGATTTTTAATTCAGAATCAATGTAATATATCCTGTTGATTTTATCTTGTATCACTTTCATTTCGCGTTCCTTTTTCTCATAAATCTCATTAAAAATCTTATTGAAGTAAGATCGGAGTTTGTTGCAATCGTCCATCAGGTAATGATTATTCAGTATCACCTGACCAAACCCATAAGATTCCATCTGCGAGTAATAATGAGGGGATTGCTCGATGAACCGGTGGCCCGTCATACCTTTGAACAAAACGAAAGAGATCGACGTTAAGTATTAATATGAAAGATCCGATCGACGCGTTCCAATCTGTCGGTTTTCTACCTTCGAAAGCCCTTTGCTCTGCCAGTTCTTGTTCATCGATCTCACGTTCCTCATCTCCCAAGAGTTCACCCACCCTTACCTTTTCTTCGCGAGTCAATTTTAAAGGATCAACCAATGCCAATTCAAGCTGAGATTCTGTATATATTTGCCAACATTGAAAATAGTTCGATTTGACGATACTACATAAAAAGGTCCTTTGAAATTCAGCGTACTCGAGGGCTTCTTTAATTTCTGGGTTTTCAAGAACGAATGGAAAATTCGTCACTTCGAGAGAATTCAATATCGAAAAGATCGATTTAGCAAGAATCTTCTGAGGATCCCAATAAGTTCTTTTGATCCAAGCGGCAATGTGGTCCATAGAACTGCAATTGAACTCGTACTCCAGTCGCTTATCTTCTCGAGCATGCTTTGCTACTTTCATCGCGTGCTCGCGCTCGGCCTTGTCGAGGTCGAAAGCCGACACCGGTAACCTCTCCAGCTCCGGAACGATTTCGTTCTTATTCAGCAGTTCTACGACGACGTTCTTCAGAACCAAGAAGTCCTTCATTATGCTTGTTCTTTTCTGAGCGCATGCAGTTTCTTCTTCCTTTAATTTTTCCTTTGCTATCCACTCGACCCAGGTCAAATCGATCTCCTCTTTGAATTTATTTAATCCTTGCTTGGCTGGATTCAGTAGACTTACTAACGATGAATTCAAACTAGCATAATCAGCAAGTATCCTTTCTTTCTCTTTTTCGTATACAGAATCATCAACGAGATACAATTTCTTTGTGATATCCTCTTGCTGATTGGCCTACGCTAAATGAGTTTTATATAATTTCGATAGGCAAACAATTAAAATTATTGTAATTTTACCACTTGCTCTACTTTCTTCATTCCCACTAATGACCCATCGTGACCAAGGGCAATAGCTAAATTAGCATTAGAGTTAACTAGACCTTTCACAGATCCAAAGTCATGTCTATGATGTGTCATCATACTTGCCACTATTTCTTTTATCGACTTATTTCTAACGATGATCAAACCATCGTATGCGGCCGTCGTTAGCCAATTACGATCGGCGAAAAGACGTGCACATCGAAAATAATGATTCGTTGGCATTGTGCCAACTATTTCGATGTCTTTCGTTGTTGTTTCTAATAGTTTTAATGTTTGAAGTTGTCTTGTAAGATACGGTGTACCTACCACCAATTGATAATTTCCCGGTACGTTATATAAATTACGAAAACGATTATGTAAATTTAATGTCCCGATGATCTCTTTCATTTGTACTTCCATCTTCGACACTTTATAAATAAGAACTTGTTCTCCGACGAAATTTGTCATCGATGTAACGGGTATAACGTATATTTTAAATCCTTTGTGATTATCACATAACAACACATCGCTGATTACTTTTTTTACATGAACTTGACCTATCACTCTATACGCATCGCTTTTTAGGCTGATGCAAAAACAATTGCCAGATTTTGTATCGCTGACAACGAGGGACCTGTGATAGAACAAAATTTGACGAATTAAAGAAATATTTTCGATCAAAATTATGTCAAACCTTCCGGACGAAGAAAATTTGATTAAGTTTAGCGGCTTTTTATATAGTCTCATGTTTACGATAATCTCAGGATTCTTTGGATTAATTATACGGATGAAAATTACTTCACCCTTGTTAGTGGTTAACGCAATAAGAGGATAATCTGGATGCGAAGCTTGACAAGAAATATCACCGATCGTTTCTGGAGAGATTCTTGCTATTTCCATTCCAGAATTGCATTCTAATACTGCTAAGTCCTTAGAATTGTCGCTGGTTACTACTACGTGATGGCACCAAGGATATACAAAATCAAGGTAACGATAATTAGCACCGTGATAATAGTATTCTTGTATTAACGGTATTGCATGACTTTCCAAAAAATGAATTTGCATCAAGTATCCCTCTAGTGTGTAATAAAATAACCAATCATTCTTTAAAGGGCATGTTATCAATATATAGGGTTTTGTCGTAGATTTAATACACCTGTTGATCAGGACATAAAAGAAATACAAATTCGAACATTTTTTAATTATAGAAAGTACATACCATTCTTTATTCCAAACATCATTATTAATATATTTTTTATAATAACATATTTGACAAAACGTAGTCCTTAAAATTATTCCATCACGATACCAACAAATACTTGGCATTTCATAATCATTGCATAATCCGCAATGTTGAGAATAAACGATACGATACACATTCGTACCATCCTCATTACTCAAATATATGTGCCCGTCATGATCAGTTATCGCCAATATAGGATCACCTGGTAAAGGACACCAATCTACCCAACGTATCAGCTCATTTTTTGGTAGTTTTATCTCATGATCTGTACTGTACGTTCTCAATCTTATAAAATTAAATATACACATCGGAATAATTAAATCTAGTTACACACCTTTAAGAATGTAAGTCTTGCTGATTACATTGAGACTCCAAATAAACAATTCGCCACAAGTTTTGCCCAATTGTGCTATGAGTGTTGGACCAGTTTGATTGATTCTAAGTATCTGTTTAACATCATTTTGCATGGGCGTGTTAACATTCATGATTTTTTCACCAGTTCTCCACGACCAAAGAATCATCGAAAATTTAGGGTAATAACCC